GTCATAACTGTTCCTAGTAACAGAATGAACTTGTGACCTAATGGTGAGGTACTGGCTTTTTATGTGGTCTCAGGTAAGAGGTCAAGAGCATGAATGTGAGTGACAGTCATTCCACATTTATGATGACAGAGGTAGACACACTCTTCGAAACATTAAGAACTCTACAGTGACGAGGCTTATTGTATAATTATAATTTTATTCCAGTTGCATTTTCTTTCTTATCAAATTTTTTTCCATACCGTGTTTCAGGGTTGTCTAAAAATGTCTCCTTAAATTCCATACATTTTAAAAGATTGTTGAGACTGAAATCAAAAGAATGGGCCATGCTAAAATAATTAACTGCATGGAACAGTGTCCTCGAGAAGCTAATAGTCGCTCAGTAAAACAAATTACCTGCCTTTTTGGAACTCTAAAGTTCATTACAATGAACACAAGAGCCCATCAGTCCCTATCCTGAGCCAAATTAGTCCAGTCCACTCTCTTTTCCTTTTCTCTTTTAATTTTAATATTGTCTTCCAAGTGGTCTCTTCCTGTCAGGTTTTCCAACCAATACTACGTAAAATTCTGTGTAAGTAAAATGACGGAATACCGGCATGGGATGGACCCTTTCATAAATATGCATTGATTTGTATTACATCATGGTCTGAAATTGGATGTTTTACAATATTCGGTGTTTTAATTTTTAAAATAGACTCCATTTTGGATGAATTGTTTCTAAAATGTGAATATAAATATTGTTTTTCATATTTCAGACCTTGCATTGCTGTTGCCTAGTGATGCAGATATATTGTTATTTTGTAAACTCTTTGATGAAACAATTGTCCTGTGTGTATATATTAGATATGGGGATATTTGTGGGCTTGATAAGAATGTAATAATGTATCAGTTGTAGAATTTGAAGACTTTTTGGAAGCCGTGTCCAAAATTAGTTACGTTTAATTAAATTACATTTGTAAAGTATAGGGGAGGAAGGTATTAAGACACTTAACAATCATAAAATATTTGTCCAAATAAGAGATTTATTTTTTTGAAATGTAGCAGAGAGTGACCCAGATGGATTAAAATTTTAGTCTAGGTTTTAGAGTGAAAAAGAGAAAGATTTTCTATACATTAAATAGAAATGAGTCAGTTTGAATATCTACATTTATAGCATATTCTTGCTATATTTTATTCTGTAATTTGTTAAGTGCTTTGTATTGTTAATTTTTAATATTAAATGATCATAATATACGTATGACTTCATATTTTAAATGTAGGATATGAGGTTTTAAAATATGAAGATGGCTGTCTTCTGGGTTGTTGCGCCGTGTAGTCTGGTAGAAGTTTACTGATGTTTCATTCATCCATGGCTTCCATCATCAGGGCGATCGCCCTGATGATGGAAGCCATGGATGAATGAAACATCAGTAAACTTCTACCAGACTACACGGCGCAACAACCCAGAAGACAGCCATCTTCATATTTTAAAACTTTATCAGAACAAGACATAAAGTTTCAGTGGGGTTTTAAGTTCATTATTTTTCATTATTTCCAAATGTATTTATTTCTTTTCATTTAGCCTTAGTATTGTTAATTCTTAATGGTTCCATAGCTTTGGTTTAATATCGTTGACTTTTGTGTGCTTTGGGTAGTTTTCTTGTCTGGATAAAAACAAAGTATTTCAGAGGTTGGCTATGTTTGTCGTTAGATAGGCAAAAATGGTCCGTTCTCTGTGGCGTACCCTCTGGGGTGACAAAATTGTGTATTTCACTTGCACATGTTTTCTTCTATATCTTGTCTAGGTATAAACATTCATAATATGTGAATGTAGCCGTCGTTAACTACATGACAGGATTAACGTTACAGGAGCTTGGACAAGGCTCGCAGTGTAATTTTTTCTCTAAATCATCAGGTTCTTTTTTGTTTTTCAAAGTGTTAGCTGGGCTGGAATGGCTAACATTGCTCCACCCTTGGATAAGAAGTGTTCAGTGACATTGAAAATGTTTTGCATCATTGAGTCAAATTCAGATCTGGGGGCTTTGAATGTTTGTCGTGTCTTTGGTTCCTTCAGTTCGCAAAGGCTCATTTAGCAGACGCTTGAAAGCTTCAGAACTGATTGTGGATAAAACCTGGTCCCTGATAATCGGTATTTTTAGTTCGGTGCAGTTTTCTGATATGTCCTCTTAAATTCGTGTTTCTAAAATGCTGAAATTACTAATTACTACTACAAAGCTGCTTACACTCAACTTTTTAATGGATGGTCACACAATGTTCGGTGCTTCTTGTTTACCCTCGCTAGTATGTAAATGTAGAGGTAATATTTTAAAGACACGTTAAAGTTCGTAACTCCTTAGAAACCACCGTTTATAATATGAGGAATTCTGTAGTGCGATAAACAGTTTCTGTTTGTGCATGATCGTGGTTTCCTTTCACAAATTTCAACGACTCGTCGGTATGATTGACTTTCCAGCTTGCATGCTGACAAAAATTTTAATTGACATGATTGTACATGGGCAAGTGATGCTTTTTGCATCATTAACAATTTTAGTTTAAAATGTATTATAAATACTACAATTATATTTCAATCTTAACTGTATTACTATTCTGGGGATACGTATTGCTGGGTCCTTTATCACAGTGGTATTCAACCTTTTTTGTTCGCGTACCCCCAGATATAATTTCTCTTCAACTTTCTACCCCCAAAGTTGTTGGTGTATAATTCAAGTTATACATAGTATATAATCTACATCTAAAATAAATTAAATAAATTACATTACTGATTATTCAGTGTTTATCATAAAATAATATATATATTTTTTTTAAATTTCACGTACTCCCTAAGATGTCTTCGCTTACCCCAGGTTGAATACTACCGCTGTATCAAACCAGATCCCCACATGCAGCTCGCTGCCCTGATGATGAAGGCAGTACATGCCTCTGAAATGTCAGTAAATTTCTGTCAGACTTCATCCCAGAAGACAGACGTCTAGAATATAATTATTTAATAGAGCAGCAAATATGCAAATTATTGCGGTACATTTCAGTCTTTGCATGTTGGTGATGTACAATATCGACCTAGTTGGCCCCATTCTCTGAGAATTTTATACATTATGTCTTTTGAGTTACATTATTTGAATCTTTCTCCATTCTCACCCCTGAACATTTTGGCGTCTGATTTGGTTGTAAAATTTCAAATCCAAATGGGTCTACTTTCTTGTGAGTTAAGAGGATTCATTTTCGTTCTCTAAAGTGACGTTAAGAACTTGTTATATTGATCCTAATTATTATGTCGCAGACTAATTGTACTGTCATCCACTTTATCAAAAGCAACTTTCAAACACCAAGAAATAACTTTATTGTACGTGCTGACTTTATAGCTTATAAGTTTTTATGTATTTACTAATCATTACTCGTGTCTGACGTTTGGATTTGTTTACCAAACAAGTAAGGGGAACTTGCAAAGATAATATTAATAGTTGTCTTTATTTAAACCAATAAAAAGTGCCACTAACAAGCAATATTTTAGTTTTGTTTTAATAAAATGTTATTTGAGGGAGTTAAAACTATTATGAGGACCAACTATTGTATAACTGATTATGCATAGTTTTGTCGTTGCAGATACACTACTGCCAACCATTTTACTTATTTAATTGTTTATAAATCAAAGCAATAAATATCAATGTAGAGAAAAAAATTAAAAATA